ACCGATACCGTTTTATCGGCCAGGCCTAGGCAAAGTCTTTGTTTATATAAAGTGTTTTATTTTATTTGTATTATTCATTCATGTTTTTTATTTGATTTGGTATTTGTTTTAAAAGTTCACTTTATTTTTTAGAAAAGATATTTCAATTTATTGTGCTTTACACACAACAAAAACCCTAGACTGATCTCCAAATCCTGGTTTCCAAAATTTAGCTGGCCTCAAACAAAGAAAACTGTGAGATCACTGATATTTTTCGATACCACTGTTGCTTTTCAATTGTTTTTCAATGTAAACTTGCTAGATGGACGTATTTGACCGTTACACTCGCATCTTGCGCATGGCACAGCATTCTAAAAACAAATAAGTTGAACTTTTAAATACGCATTTCAAGGCTGTGCATTTATTCCCCATTCCTTTGCCGTGTCTTGTGTTTTTCAAAGCAAAAAACGTATGCAACCGAACATAGCAGTAATAACTAGAAGAAAAAGCCCAAGACACAGTCCAAAGGCTGAAACACACCAGGGACTTATTTCCATTGCTGGTTAACCAGCATTATAAACCATTTTTCCCTTTAGGGACACTGTTGGTCCTTAAAATCTGAAGCATGTTAACAGCTAGGCCATGGCTCCAGCAGAGCATAATTTAAAATAATTGCATTATAGTGTAAGATACAGTATAGAACATGCTATTGTGAAATCTCTAAAGGGAAATGACAATCAAAGTGACGTGAATACTTGATTTTGAGCCTTGGTCTTTCTGGACTCTTTGTTCAGAAAGTGGAAATGTTGCTGTGCAGTGTGTGTTATTGTGTTCTGCTTGATTTCTAGGCCATTCTGGTCCCTACATGACTTAAGTGCATCTTAAACAAGTATGATGTCCACCAACGATCAGAACTTGTTCATGAAAGACAAATGAAAATGACTTAAATCCAAAAATAGTAAGATATTATGTTGTTTTTGAGTACACTTAAACCATACCCTGTCCCAGCTGGTGAGGGGAAGACTGCATCTCTTCACACCTTCCCTCCCTGTCCTTTCTTTCCTCTGCATTTGCTTCCTCCATCTGTCTAAATGCACATTAATTATACACATACACACATATATTCTCTACCCCAGCGACACACACCCACATAATGCATGTGCTTTCTCCACATTTTTTAGGGGAATCACTGAAAATAGGTCCTAATGTCAGTAGTGTATTGATGTTACAATAATATGATTGTTGAGACCAGAATAACGAATAAAAGTTTGGACCTATTCACCATCATGAAAGTTTTGAAACTGCACACAAGCACGTACAATGAAGCATGTACATTGAAGTACTCTAGTCAAATTATTAAAGGAATATTCTTGCATTTAAATACAAAGTTAGCCCTATTAACAGTATCGGTGGCATGCTGTCACTTACCATGGAATATAATTACAACTTGTCAGTCAATTTGTAAAAAGCAATTAAAGACATTTATAGTAATGCACTTACAATGAAAGTTTAGCAGACAAGTGTGCAACACTGTAAATAAAAGAAAGAATATATATGTACTTTTAAAATATGCAAGTATCACACTGTTTTTGAAAGTAAACATTACACATGTTGGCATAAGACTGGATACAACCTTAGCTGCATACATACATTCATTAAACGGTATGTACTGTATAGTATAGCAAATCTCAACTGCTTGATTGTTATATCACTGAAAAATTTTAATATATACAATATAGTAGTGTTGTCAAAGTTATTGACTGATATATGGCTGCTTTCAAATGCATATTTACAAATGTAACGTGTTAGAGCGCTGAGCATTTTAGCCAATCACAAATCTCCAGTCACAGATCTCTTTCAACATATCAATCGACCCCCTTGACTTTTTTCAATTTTGTTATGTTGCAGCTTGATACAATTGTTTAAATTTTTTTTTTTCTCTCCCATTAATCTACACTCCGTACCTCATAATGACAAAGTGAAAACTGAATTTTAGAAATGTCTGTAAATTATTAAAAAGAAAATTGTCTTCACCTCAAGAAACATCAATCTGCAACATCACCTCAAATTTAGCTCAAGTGCTACCCATTTCTCTTGATCATTGCTGAGATGTTTCTACACCTTGATTGGAGTCCACCTGTGGTAAATGAAATTGATTGGACATGATTTGGGAAGGCACACACCTCTCTATAAAAGGCCTCACAGCTGACAATGCATATCAGAGCGAAAACCAAGCCATGAGATCAAAGAACCTGCCTGCAGAGCTCAGAGACAGGATTGTATCGAGGCACAGATCTGGGGAAGACTACAAAAATATGTCTGCTGCACTGAAGGTTCCCAAGAGCACAGTGGCTTCCATAATTTTCAAATGGAAGAAGTTTGGCACAACCAGGACTCTTCCAAGAGCTGGTCACCCAGCCAAACTGAGCGATTGATGGATAAGAGCCTTGTCTAGACTGGTGACCAAGAAAAGGATGGTCACTCTAGTTGAGCTCCATGATCATATGTGCAGATAGGAGAAACCTACAGAAGGACAAACATCACTGCAACACTCCACCGATCTGAGCTTTATGGCGGTTTGGCCAAACTCAATCCTCTCCTCAGGGAAGACACACTTGGAATTTTCAAAACCGCACCTAAAGGACCCTCAGACTGTGAGAAACAAGATTATCTGGTCTGATGAACCTAATTTCTAAGCATCATGTTTGTAGGAAACCAGCTCTGCTCATCACCTGCAGAGTACCATCCCAAAAGTAAAGTGTGCTGGTAGCAGCCTCGTGCTGTGGGGGTGTTTTCAGCGGCAGGGACTGGGTGACCGGTCAGGGTTGAGGGAAAGCTGAATGGAGCAAAATACAGAGATATCCTCAATGAAAACCTGTTCCACAGCTCTCAGGACCTCAGACTGGGCCGAAGGTTCACCTTCCAACATGACAATGACCCTAAGCACACAGCCAAGGCAACACAGGAGTGGCTTAGGGATAACTCTGTGAATGTCCTAGAGTGGCCCAGCCAGAGCCCTGACTTATGACCCTATCGAACATCTCTGGAGAAACCTGAAATTGGCTGTCCACCGACAGTCCCCATCCAACCTGACCAAGCTTGAGAGGATTTGCATAGAATAATGGCAGAAAATCCCCCAATCCATGTGTGTATAATTGCTGCCAAGAAGTGCTTCAACTAAGTACTGATTAGTTTTTTTTTTTCTTTTTAATAAGTATATAAACAGACATTTCTAAAATCCAGTTTTCACTTTGTCATTATGAGGTACGGAGTGTAGATTAATAAGAAAAAAAATTTATTTAAACAATTGTATTATCAGGCTGCAACTAACAAAGTTGAAAAAAGTAAAGGGGGTCTGAATACTTGCTGAATCCACAGAATGGGTGTGTGTGTGTGTGTGTGTGTGTGTATGTGTGTTAGGGATGGGCAATATCTTATCATTCACGATATACCAGTGAAAAGTGTGTATGAAATATTGCAATTTATGTCAATTGATATGTATTGTATAAATAGATCTGTGCATAAAGTCTAAGTGTTAAGTGTAAGCGCAATGGACCTGCTACTTGTTCTGTAATCTGTAATGTTTTGTGTTTTTTCTAGTGCTGTCGAACTATTAATCGCAATTAATAGCATCCAAAATAAGTTTTTGTTTATATAATATATTTGTGTACTGTGTTTATTTATTATGTTCCATATATCGGACGAGCCCCCGTTGACAGTATGATTAAAGGTGTATGTAGTGCAACATTAAACTCCTGAGATTTATTTAAGTGCTGCTTTAGCAAGTATTACTAATCATTTATTCACTTCCAAAGGTTTCATCAGCCCTTCATCATGGCCGTTTTCGGCAACAGGTCTGAGGAGGGTATTTAATCTGTCCACGGGGGGTCAGATCAGTGAGATCCAGTCAGGGTTTACAGTGACAGCCCGTGGAGGAGGCAGCATTGTTCTGCCTCTTTGAAAATCGCCTGGAGCTGCTATCACTTAAACTTAAACATCATCCTATTATTAGGCTTATGGTTGTTTGAGCTTATATGTCAGGTGAGCAGAGGATTTAGTCTCTAGAGACCTTAGAATATCAGGGATTTTTATTTGCATGCTTCAGTTGCTTAAACATAGGCTTGTATGATTAGAGTTGATTATAAATTGTCTTGAGGCTGCAGTGGAAATCAGAAAACGGGTTTCCTGGACTGGCAAAAATAAAATAATAAAAAACGTGTAAACTAAAACTCAATAAAATAATGTAAAAATGTCCTCTGTTTAATATAAGGCTTTATTTTAATGTTTAATTTGTATAATAATTTACATGCTTTATAATGTAAACCTAATTTTGGGGTATTTTAATTTAATTTCATTGTCACCGTTTTTATTGTTTTTTTTTCTTTTTTTAGTAATTAATTTTATTTTCCTGTATATGCCATATGGGTTCAATTTCTACAGTGTTTCACTTTTGTCTCCGTCTTAGTCTTGATGTTGCGGGGAGGGGCTATTGTTGCATGGCAACAATCATGATTGACAGCACTGTTTTCTTGAGGGAGGCGTATAATAATAACGCTATCATATGGTCTGGCAGATTTTGGGCTCGCCACCAGGGATGACAAATGTGCTCACGCAATAATTCAATCTGCTCTCCCAGTTCTTCAACTTTGAGGGGACTTGCGAAGATGAGTAGTTGGAGCAATTAAGTTGGTCAGTCATTGTTAATGTGTAGCACCCAAAATATGTGCCAGGTTGTTTATGAAGAAGTGTTTTTCATAAAAAAAAAAGAGAGCGAGGGAGAGAAAGTAAAGAAAACTTCGCAGACAGATTGTGATTTGGTGAATGTGTGAGAATGGAAGGTGGTCTGAGAATATCAGTATCTAATTAAAGTTTTCTTCCGTACGTCACTTGATAAAAACGCTGGGTTTTCAGCGATAGTTAAAGTAAATGATGCTTCTAAAGGAAATGGCAGGAGGAAAGTGATGATGAGAACAAAAAGCAAAACACATGTAATGTTTTCATCTTTCTTTCTTTCTTTCTAGGTGAAGAAATACACTCTATTAATGGTGGATCCAGATGCTCCTAGTCGTCAGAAACCGTCTCGCGCTTACTGGAGACACTGGTTACTGGTTGACATTAAGGTACGTCACATCTCCCAAAAAGGTCTTTGAAACACAGATGCTGTCTTATCCTAATTTGATGTTTTACAGACTTGTTATAACCTCTGTGACTTCATGAATGTTCTTCTTTGATATAATGAATCTTCAAGCCTGTTAATGCAAGTCAATGTATTTAATCTGAATATTATCCAGAACAAAGCCTTAAAATAAAGGTTGCTTAAAGCAGCGCTTTGGCACGAACAATCCTGGACATAATGTGCAAAGCAAAAGGTGTCAGAAACACTTTGGTGGGCAAACAATTCCTGGATCGTGTGGACCGTATCTGCACCTTCCATGTGCTTCACACTTGTGCTGCGTTTCCGATGAGTTACATAATTACGGAGTAAAAATATCATGTTAGTCATCAGCGCTCCGCTCCAGCGGGATCTAGAGGCAGATTCATCAGGCTGTGCATGGGGACGCTGTGTTTAAACAACCGGGGATGAGACACACTTTAATTGCTCAATCTTAAGTCAATATTCTTTCATCCTTTCTTAATCTCGCAGGCTATTTGTTTACGTGCACTTTCTTTCTCAGTTGTTCTTGCTGTGGTGCTATTGGTTCACAGGGGAGGCCAGTGATTCCAATAAAGTTTGTAACTACATCTCAGAAATATATGAAAAATGACTGATGTCTCGTACACAAGTTACAAAAAATGAAGTTTGTAAGAATGAATTTCCTTTCTTGACATTTCAAGTTTTTCTGTTTGGAAGCGTTTGTGACAATCATGTGGGAAAATTGTTCTCCTGTGTAATGGGAATGATTGCACGTCAGTTCTCCTTCAGACATGGGAACTACAGACAGGCCTACTATGACTGTTGTCCCTTTTTTAAACCTGGTTTTACTGAAAGAGACATATATATACAGGTGCATCTCAATAGATTAAAATGTCGTGGAAAAGTTTTATTAAATAAAAAAAAAATGATTTCAGTAATTGAACTCAAATTGTGAAACTCGTGTATTAAATAAATTCAGTGCACACAGACTGAAGTAGTTTAAGTCTTTGGTTCTTTTAATTGTGATGATTTTGGCTCACATTTAACAAAAACCCACCAATTCACTATCTCAACAAATTAGAATATGGTGACATGCCAATCAGCTAATCAACTCAAAACACCTGCAAAGGTTTCCTGAGCCTTCAAAATTGGCCCTCAGTTTGGTTCACTAGGCTACACAATCATGGGGAAGACTGCTGATCTGACTTGTTTAATCATTGACACCCTTCACAAGGAATGTGAGCCAAAATCATCACAATTAAAAGAACCAAAGACTTAAACTACTTCAGTCTGTGTGCATTGAATTTATTTAATACACGAGTTTCACAATTTGAGTTGAATTACTGAAATAAATGAACTTTTCCACGACATTCTAATTTATTGAGATGCACCTGTATATATAATATACAGTTCTTCCAAAAAATGGGAATTATCTTATCATTTATTCAGTGTCAGGTCATTCCAAACTTATGTTTTTTTTCTTCATTGGAACACAAAAGGAGACATCAAGCAGAATTTTCACGCTGCTATTTCATTCACAATGAAAGTGAATGGTAGCCATAACATTCGTCTATAAGATCTGTACACTATTTCCTTATTTAAAATTATTTAAAATATTTAAAAACTAGTGTTTTTAAATCATATAATTTTGTGTGATTAAAAAGGCTAAAATTGTTAGTTATTTAATGATAATATTTAAAGTCTTATTCATGTTTGTACATATCCAAATATGACAAGGCAAGATATGTCATTCCAGCTTTGACATAAGTAATTCCAATGCCATTGGTTTTGAGCAGTATTTTAATATTATATAATATTTAAATAGTATATTTGTTAATATTTTTAATGAGCTTTTTCAGTCACTTGGATTTATTTTTGTTATTTTTATATTTATTTTAAGTTTTAGTAATTTATTTGATACGCTTTTTCTTTTCTACTTCTGATTTAGTGTTTGCTGCTTCAGTCACTTAGCTTTATTTTTATATTTTTTATTTTTATTATTAAGTTTATTTTAATTTTAGTTCAAATTTTAGTAATTTTGTTATATACTTTTGTGATTTTAGTACTTCAATTTCAACTTTTCTTATTTCATGTTGCCAAGTTTTCAAAATGTACATTTCAACTGATATTTATATTTAGTTTTAATTCAGATTTAATTCAATTAACCAACACTAATTTCAGTTTTAGTTTACAATAACCATGCTGATTTGGGGTGCCAAATGCAATATACAAATCACACAAATTTTTGAAACCCCAGTCCCCATTCATTTTCATTGTGTGGAAAAGAGCAGCTTGAACATTCAATATGATGTGATAAGAGATATCTCTCTAATATGATAAGAGATATCTCTCTTTGTGCTGCATGTAAGAAAAAAAGCCATCAAGTTTGAAATGTCACATTGGTGTGTAAATGATAACTGAATTGTAATTTTTGGATGGACTATCCCTTTAATTGTACCATTTTACTGTGGTTTCGTGACAGGATATATCTATAAAATAGCACTAAGGATGAAAAAAGCAACACTCCGTCATTCAGCAGGCGTTTTACTCGTAAATCACCATACAGATACATTTTCTAAAAGCAGCATATGATCACAGTCCCTGGAAGGGAGGCCGTCTTCAGCGCTAGTTCAGCCCTGCCCTCCTCTCCATCTCGCAGAGAAGAGACGAGCCTCCTCCCCGTCTGGCCAGGCGACACACTGTGAATAAACAAATGTATTTCAGGTGCTCAGACAGACAACCTCTCAATACCCTGTCACTGTGTGGGTGGCGGCATGCCGCCTGTCTGCTCCCTGATTGGCCGTCTCATTGCGCTGTGTGTATGATGAGGAGCCGTGGTTGGTCAGAGGTTTAATGAGGCTGGTGGGAGGTGAGTAATTGCCGCGGTGACTTCCTCTAACCTTGCCGAAGTTATAATAACATCCCGTGTGAATGTGTGGAATTATCTGTCCTGGAATACTCCTGGGCTTCAGACTGAAGCAGGTGCCACACAAATGAACAATTCTTCTCTCACTCCAACACCTTATTTAGAAATCTGCCCTGTAATTCCTTTTTTTAGAAATTAAATTACAACCCTGATTTGGCTTGTTACTCCCTCTACAAGCAAATGTAATGTCTTTTGTGTATTGCATGCAAACGCAATGTAGGAGAGCAAAAGTTGTTTTTCATTTTCACTCTTCTATCCAAACTCATGTCAGAGAGCACGTTTTGGTTTCCATGCTAGCCTGGTTTTGACTCATGGGATGTCGAAACATTACATCTCTCTTAGTTTTTATGAGAAACTAAAAATAGAGGTGCATTAAAAGCAAAAAAAAAAAAATCTCATTACCTGTTGTTCAATGAACTTCAGTGTGTAATTTAACTTAGTTATTCCTGTATAGGTATCATTGCTATTGTGTTTAGCAATATATCAACTTTTTTCTGTGTTTGCAGAATTATAGCACAGCTTTATTAGTTATTGAAAATTAGCTCAGGTAATGTAGTTTTACTTAAAATTGTGCTTAAATTGTGCAATTTGAGTAGATAATTATATTTCTTGGAATATGTCAAATATATCTGACTGAAGTTTTTCTTATCTATAGTTTTTTTTTAATCACAATGGAAGTGCTGTACCTTAATTCTGTACGGAACTCCAACATTATGAACTCCAAACTTGTTTACATTTATGAATTTAGAAGACACAAGTGACAATTTGTCTTAGAGCCAACGATATTTACAGTATACAATGCCACGTTTAGAAAGCTACATAAGGAATAAAGCTAGAGCAGAGGAGAAATGCAGAGAAGAGAAAGAAGAGGTAAGTGCATTGGTTTAAGGGTTTTTAGGGTGGTTAAGTGTTGGCAGGAAAGGCATCTTCAGTTGCTTCTTGAAAGATGTGATGATCTCAGTAGTTCAGTTTGAGGAACAGAGAGAGTGAAGGTTTTGGAAAAGTGTCATTAGCTGCATTTCCATTACCCTTCAAATTGTGGAAATTGAAACTGTGAATTGAACACCTAATGGAAACGCATCAAATTCGCAAAACTGCCCATATATCGCAAAAAAAAAAAAAAGTTTTTTTACACTCCCATTTCAAAAAAGGAATATTTTGCAAAACTGCAATGGAAATGCATTTTTTAGGTCAATGTTTAGGTCAAATGGTGTACATAAAAAGTCATTCTTCAACGTACTATAACCGTACTAAGTATCTCAAGTATATGGGGTTTCCCTTACCATTAATGTTTGGATGACTCCTTGTTTACACTGCATTAATGCTTCAACACGGCCACCAGAGCTGACCGCGGCCACTCTAGTCAATGCTGTTTATACCAGCCACGCCGCGACACGTTTTAGAAGCATCACAGAACTCTCCATGTTGCTTCTGTAAAGATACACGCATATGTCTCCTTCGATTAAATATAATGGTTAGTGCAGTGGCTGTGATATACATAACCATACTAAAATCCATCGGCGTGACTTATTGCGAGAGAAAAAAAAACACTTTAGTTGCATAACATCGGTTAACGGAAACGCCGTCTCTTTTTTCGACATGTATAAAATATGGCTTAAGTTTTGTGCAAATCTGTAATGGAAGCAGCTATTGTAAAGGAACAACAAGGTGATGCTCGTTCAGTGACCATAGCTTCCACTGGCCTCCAGAGCGCCCACCCCCCTTCCCCATTGGATGTTGTGTGGCGCGTGGACACACCTTCAGGGAGGGGGGAGTAATGTCAGTCATGTGTCTTGTGTTTTCCTCCCCCTCGTGTTGATTGTGTTCTTTGATTTCAGGTGTTCCCTCATTAGTTTCCATGGTTTTTGATTAATTACTCCACCTGTTTCAGTTCTCCCTGATTACATTCCGAGTATATTAGCCCTGTGTTTCCTGAGTCCTACGTCCTGTCTTAATCGTAGATTCCCCGTGCTATGTGTATTTTCTTTCCTTATTTCCTTAAAATAAAGACTGTTCCTCGTTTCTCTCCATCATATCTGCGGTCCAACACAGCAGCACCGTGACAAGAAGACAGTGAAATCATAATCAATCAAATTAATAAAAGCTAAACGATTGTGACAATATTTAAAATACATACTCTGAGGCTGCTGCAGTATTTGTTATGGAATATACTTGTTTGTTCGCACAGAGATCCTCAACTTAAGTTCATTTAACACGCCATGAAGGACATGAACATAGACTTGAAAGATACATCAAATTGTTTGTGTGACATTTACCATTGATCAGTGAAATTTTGCAGTCAAAGTACAGGAATCTGTGTGATCAGGAGTTTTATGTTAGTGTGAAAAAAGATTTCGGTATGGTAACATGTTGACCAATAGGAAGACATTGACATCTGTGCTTCATGCATCATGCTTTGCTACACTATTGACATTAAATAACTTTTTTTTTACCTACTAAAATTATTTCTTTTGAAAATTCATTAGGGTTTTGTTTTGCACCTTTAGTGTTTAGACCATTTTTGCTTGGTCAGACAATAAAATAGCCAGATAAAACCTTTTAGGCTTGCATTGAAAGAAAATGCAATGTATTCAAAACCATCTTAGCAACCACTCAGAAATGCTCTAGCAGCTACTTTAAACATCCTAGCATAATGGCAGCGACTTTTGCATGGACAAGCAGCATCTATTTTCAAATCTCATTCATTCATTGATTCATTCACCTCATCTGGCTGAAATACAATTATTTATGCATTCTCTTGAATGCAATGTCTTATACAATCCTGTGTTAATTAGTGATTTTGTCATCAACGCTCATACAAGTTTTGCCTCGACCTTTGTCCATCTGAAGGAGGTATTTCTAACACTTTATTGGAACCATATTTAGTTTGTCATTTCCTCTGTTTGGCAGCATGTGTGCAGATGGACCCTTCCTCCCGTACCGCTGCCAACTCGCCACTCGCAGTCAGTCGCCATCTCCAGTCACCACTCGAGATTTCTGGCACTTGTCGCAAACCAGAGAGCCCACTCCACACATTTGTGTCATTATGCGGAGCATTTCTCCCTCAGTAACACATCATCTTATGCTCTTCGGCTTTCATCCAACAGTTACCGTGCAACCGGTCTGCGCTTGGGCACTTGAACTGTTCCTGGCTCAGGCCTGACCAGTCCTGCTTTTCTCCAACCAGCCATTCATGCCTCTCAAGATCCTGTTAACCGTTGTCTGGGACTTTCATTGCAATTCAAGAGCTCTTGACTGGCGTGATTGACTCAAAAGTGCAAGGCTTTGGACTGTAATTTTGTGTTACAAGATCATGATTATATTTCTTGTAGCTTTCCACTTTATCACAAATTTTTTGTGCATTTTGGTATTTTCAGTACAAGGCATTTCTCTCAGTCTGCAAAACTATTTGCTTGTTAAAGCAAGCATCTCATAAAGTATTGCCTATACTAAACCCTAACCCCTAAATATTATATTGAAAATAATAACATGAATGACAGCTCGAATCATGTGGAGATGTGCAGTTTTTTTTCTAAACAGTCAGACGGACAAAATGTCCTAACGATACAAGATATGATAGATCACTGCCACAAAAATAACATATTTTTCTGCATGTTAATCAGTTTTTGGGCCCTTTTTTTTTTTACTAATTATTATTTTACTAACTATTATTACTAATACTACTATTAGTAGTACAAAATTATTATTAATATTAAATGGATATTATTACAATATTAGATGGATGGATGGGTGGGTGGGTGGATGGATGGATGGACAATATTATTATAATTAATAATTAATAGTAGTATAGTATTGAACAATTATTAATATTAAACAAATATTATTGTACTTCGGTATAATTATGTATATATTATAATAATTAACACTATTATAATTAACAGTGTATGTATATATGTGTATATATATATATATATATATATATATATATATATATATATTTTGAATATCATTGTTTGAATATCATTGTGTGATTTTCAAAAGAAACAAGAACATCCCAATTGTGAACTCAATATGATCAAATAATAATATTAAAATATTACTATTATAATATTCCATATAAATAATATCATATAGTATAATATAACTATATATTAGCATTGTAACATTAAATATTATAACTTTAAATTATAATATTAATGCTTTAAATAGAGCTTGAATATCATCTTGCGAAATTTACCTCTGATCTTGAAAATACATTTTCAAAGGGAAAAAAAAATGTTCAAATTGTGAACTCTTTATGAACAATTAAATGTACTCCTTGACAAAGATTATCTCAGTCACTATGTATTTTGAATAATGTTAGAATTGTTACATTTTTTATTCATTGTTATTCATTTATTTGCAGAGCGAGCTCCGCCCACACAAACACATCCCCTTGTCTTACATTATAGGACCTGAGACATATCTAGAGAACAGAGTACCATAAAAAGGTGTGATCTTTAAGGTAAACAAACACTAGCAAACAATACTAATGTCTGAACTATGAATACCATTGTTAACCATATGTAGCCACTGTAAGAGTGAAAATAACTTCCAAAGTATCTACTGTATTTCCACAGTGGACGCCTGTTGATTTTTTTCATTTAAGGAAGCCGATGCAGATTGAATTGGTAATGAAGTTATTAATTCTGTTGGAGCAGATGGTGATGGAAGAGGGGAATGGGGAGCTGAAATGCCCCTGTAGCTCCGCACTCAGCCCGCCTGACCCGTTCTGTCTCTCAATTCCCTCCTGCTCATGGAATACTACCAAAAAACAATCCCCGAACAGCTTGTTCTGCCTCAAACGGACTTTTCCTCCAGATCACAACGCTCCTATGTCTTGCTCTGTCTGATTTCAGTATCTCTTTCTCTCGCTCTCTCTTTCTCCTCACATGAAAGCGGATGTTTTGTTTGCTCTGCCGACAGAAACAAAAGGCAGAGTCATTAGCGATAGAGAGTAGTTTGCTTATGTAAATAAACCGCTAGGTGAAAAATCCTTCTTTACTTTTCACCCTAATAGTCCACCCACAGATTGCAGTATCACATCACCCAAGAGCTGTTGGCGAATCACATAATTATTAACGGTAATCTTGCACAGGAGTTTTGCAACATTATAATTATTATTTAAAAACACTTGAATTGATTTCAAGTTATCTTCCATTCCAAAAATCACATTCTTAATCAGTATTTTGTCTTAATTTCTAGGAAGAATGTCTAAACAAGCAATATATTAAGGGCTTTAAATAATAATATGATCATTTTAAATGAAATATACATATAAAATACATGTATTATTTATTTGCAGATGTCACTTGCTTTGATGGTTTATAGAATGCAAAGCCATCCAGACATTTTCACACAGAAATCACATTCAAACCAGGCCGTTTTCTGATGGTTAACGTGACCTAATTGAAATTTTTGTGAAATCTGTGAGGGGAAATATTTCGCCTTCATGTTAAATTCCCAATTGCATGGATTCCTTTTCAAATGACTGGATTTGGCCTGTGAAAATTCACCATGCAATGTTAAATCTGACCTCACCTTTAGATAGTTCAGGCTATAGGCACAGCTTAGGCACATAATAAGCACATACTATGCTGTTTCTTACTAGTTGATAATAGTGAAAATAAAGTGTCCAAATTGTTTTTGGGGTCATTGTATCTGTGTGGGCCTGACTGAATGACATTGTCAGTGTTTTTCCCTTCACAAAGTCCAAACTGACCCTGACACACCCGCATACGCTCATCTCTCTCTCTCTCAATCACACACAGCCTCCCATTCACTGTTCTCCATTTAGAGAGCCGGACAAAAGTGAATGTGAGTCTCAGTCACAATAGCGTGTTTTGACAATTCATGCTAATCGCTAACAGACAGATATTAAAGGAATGCTCAGGGTTCAATATGAGTTAATGCAACAGCATTTATGTCATAATATCAATCATTTTCGCAGTTGTAATTTTAACTTATGTGAATTTATTTCAATTTTTTAAGAACGATTTTGGTGAGGAAAAATGTAACGCCCTCCACCCTCCCGCACCTATACACTGCAAAAAAATGCTTTTCTTCGTTTTTTTTGTCTTGTTTTCAGTCAAAATATCTATCTATCTAAATCTTCTTAAATCAAGTAAAAAATTATCTTATTTCAAACAGAAAACAAGATTATTTTGCTTACCCCATTGGCAGATAATTTTGCTTGTTTCAAGCAAAAACGCTTAATTTTTTAGATATTTTGGCTGGAAACAAGACAAAAAAAAATCTAAGTAAGAAAAGCATTTTTTGCAGTGTATTTGATCATCACATTACAATGATTCTAATTCTTAGTTTAGCATATTGATTAAATGAATAGATGGTTAATTTTTAACGGCAGATTCAGTGACGTTAAAGCTGATCTGTGCATCACTGCACGCGTCTGTGCCGCATACAGCTCCGCGGCCACTCAGTCAGTTCTTGTGTTTATACCGGCCACGCTGCAGCCCAGAACTTATGCTTATCACATTAGTCGCATCACATTTCCTAACGGATTTGTACACCGGACGCGAGCGGTGCGGTGCAACAAAATACAATAGAACCCATTATAATCAGTGATGCTGTCTACACTGGATGCGGCACGACACGACAAATCCTGACAGTAAACTGATGCCTCGTTCTATTTATGGCGTACTGACACAAAATACAAATGATATTCAACAGTCGCTTTGTTGCGTCCAGTGTAGACATGGTGTGTCAGCATAGTTTGTCAGTACAGTCAGTAACATAGCAGATTGAAAAGTTAGTATCTTTCTGCAGTCCAATAGATGGCAGTGCGGTGGTGGCTTGAGTCAGTTGAATGGTGATTTAATGCTACGTTGTCACCTAGTTGATGAGACTCAATGCTATAAAGTAAATAGACAATGTCCCCATCTTTTACTCTCACAATGAGATTTTCATACTCGTTTGCTACATTAGTAGGGCCCTGTGATTTCCGCGATGTGGAAAACACTGACAGAATCGTGGAATCCATTCATAAAAATGGATTTTACTGTATAACGCGGAATTTCATGGAATTTGTCTTATTTTTGATGAATAAATAAAAAACAGGTCAGTACATTTAAATCAAATCACGATATAGACTAGTGACTATTAAATTTTTTTTAAAACAATTTTAAATACGAATCCTCATGTTCTGCATGTTCATTTGATTACCAGAAAATACAGAATTTGTGAAAAAATATTATTCATTGTTATTATTTATTCATTTTAGATGTTTACGTTTAGAAAAGCTGTGCTTCCTGCATAAACCTGCCCCTGTTGGTTTGGCAGTAGCTTGCTTGCCCTACACAGTTACCTTGTTTAATTTCTTAATTCAAGTTATATATATTTTGTTCTATTTGTGTTTTTTAAGTTATTTATAATAAGTGAAGTTTACTGTTAAGTGCACTGATGTCAGACTCATTTTGAATGATAAAGTTTATTGTTAAAGTGTTAAATACCCTGCTTCCATTGCATAGGCCTATTTGTCACATAGTGACTGACACACAAGTGTTTGATCACCACATTTGAGTTATCATTGCAAAAAATGTGTTTATGTACAGTGTATATATATATATATATATATATATATATATATACTGTATTCTACATACAGTACCAGTCAAAAGTTTGGACACACTAATGGGAAATGTGTCCAAACTTTTGACTATACTGTACTGTTATATAGCCTAGAATGTGAGGAAAGATTCCAGCACTGCCACCAAACACACATCCTACACAAACATTTAAAAGGCACATCTCCATATTTGCTTATACATTCACAAATTAGCAACAGCTGACAAGCTTAATTCAAGTCATCACACTAATTAATAGGAGTTAACTATCCACAAGTAATAATCACCCAATCAGAGCAGGTTCACATCAGATCAACACACATCAGAAAACATACACTGCAGAAACACACATGAAACCACCATCATAGAAACTCGTTCATACCTCATCCTCGTTCATACCTTTTGGAAACAGACTTTTCAAAGAAAAAATCCAAAAAGCTTCCCGCTTCTTTCTTAGGCAATCAATGTTACCACCTCTTGAATTCTGCTTAATCTTTTCAATCCCAAGAAAAAAGAAAGATGACATTGCAACAGGACTTTAGATCAGGGGTGCCCAAACTCGGTCCTGGAGGGCCGGTGTCCTGCAGAGTTTAGCTTCAACCCTAATCAAACACACCTGAACCAGCTAATCTATGCCTAGTAAGCTCTTACGAGGCATAGAAACTTCTAGGCAGGTTTGTTATGGCAAGTTGGAGCTAAACTCTCCAGGACCGAGTTTGGGCACCCCTGCTTTGGATCCTTTCTTTTTATTGCACTTCTATGTTCTGTAAACCTTTCCTTTAATGCATTGATTGATTGAAGAACAAAAAAATATTTTCTGTGGTAATCAGTTATGTTTGACAAATGCTGTTGATGGAGCCTAACCCTGTTACATCACATTTGAGGCTGGAAGTACATGGTGTGTGATGGAGGTACGATACACTGGAGGGAAATACCTCAGCATCTAGCCACTTTAAAGCAGCATGACTCTCAGGAGAGAACACACTTGTACAGACAGAGAAACTATTGTAATGCTCTCGGAGCAGCTGTGCGTGTTTGTCTTTCGAGTGCCTGTTGGGACGCTCTGCTCTGCCTGTACTGCATGTCCTTTGACTGCTGATTGGATTATATTTCTTTCCCTCAGAGGACTGCGCTTTTCTGGAAGTCAGTGTGTCAAGTGCGAGTGTTTTCTCCTCTCCCCATGTGTTCATGTGCGCATCCATGCTTAGCTGAAGAAGCTGTTAAGCTCTGTAAGTGACTCCCGGCCTCTTTAGGGTCACTAAAACGGCAAATCTGTAGGAGTTTGTTATGCCAAGGCAGAGCAGAAACTGTTTTATTATTGTTTAACAGAAAACAGTGTAAGGTCTCAGGAGCCGGCAGTGTATTATTGTCTTGAGAAATGTGTGCGTCCCATTGCGCAAGACTTTCTGTTTTTAGATTTTAAAGTCAATATGGGATGGCATTCCCAAGCCATTTTACTTACGTAATCTGACATATTTTTGGGTGATGGAAAAATCTGCACACCATTATCAACATTTTTTTTTTAAACAACACGCATATCTTTGATTATAATTCATGAATATTTACGTTTTTTGGAAAGTTGCACCACGTGACATTTTACAAACTGAATTCAACTCTCCTTGTCATAAAAAGGAGTTTATGTAATATGTTATGAGACATTTTGATCTCCACATAGAAATGAGAGTCTTCAGGGGTCTCTCTGTGACACAATTTTCTGTCTTTTCCAGCATGTTGGTTACACCACATGACTTTTTGGGCACACCACGAGTTTGATTTGGCAGACAAAGTTTTCAGATGTTTATCATTTTTAATTATTAATAATTTTCAAGTTGCTTCAATTGCTTTTCTAAGAATTAACAAAAGATTAGACCACTAATTGAGGATTTCTTTTTAAACTTTCTACATTTAATGAGGCTTTTTTATTTATGATAACCGGATGTTCATTATAGAAGAGGTGTATATAAATGTATAAGTCAGTGTACACTACTGTTCAACAGTTTGGGGTCAGTGAGATTTTTGTTTGGAGTCTTATGTTCATTGGGTCTGCATTTATTTGATCAAAAATACAGTAAAATTGTGAAAATATAAAAATTTCAAATCACTTTTTTTCCATTTTAATCAATTTTAAAATGTAATATATTCCTGTGATGCAAAGCTGAATTTTCAGCATCATTACTCCAGTCTTCAGTGTCACATGATCCTCCAGAAATCATTCTAATTATGCTGATATGCCGCTCAAGAAACATTTATTATTAGTAGTAGTATGATTATTAGTTGAAAGTGACTGTGCTGCTTAATGTGCTTTTTTCCAAGGATTCTTTGAAAAACAGAAATTCTGAAGACGTTTTTTTTTATTATTATTATTACATTATACATGTCTTTCTGTCATTTTGACCAATTTAATGCACATATTTTAAGAGAAAGATCTCTAAGAACTTTAAAACGGTACTCTATGTATAAATTATATTTTTTGTATTTTT